GCTGCCTCACAGTGGCCTTTGGAGAGTCTGTCTGTCTGTCTCTGCATCCCTGTACCTGGGTCCAGCTCCCATCCACCCTTTTCTTTGCTCTCCTAGTTTGGTTGCTGTGGGGTCAATGGGCCTGAAGACTTTAAATATGCATCAGTTTTCCGACTCCTGACTTTGGACAGTGACGAGGTGCCAGAGGCCTGTTGCCGGAGAGAACCCCAGAGTCGGGATGGGATCCTGCTGAGCAGGGAGGACTGCCTCCTGGGAAGGGACCTGTTCCTGAACAAGCAGGTACCAGGCCCTGCTCCTCCCTGGCAGGGGGAACCAGTCCATCTGGACTCAGGTGGCCAGAGCTGGGTGGGTAGCCACATGGGCCCAGAGGGTCTGAGGGCACTCGGGGAATCCCATGGAAGTGTTGGCTGTGATATGGGGGCTGATGAAGGCTCCATCCCTACCCCTGAGATCCAACCAAAGTGGGGAAAGGAGGAGGGTGGCAGACAGTCCTGTGAAGCCACGGGCCAGAGGAGTGGGCATTTTGGCTGGGCTTAAAGGGTGAGTAGGAGTTTTCCAGTGTTCCACATAGAACACTCCCTGAGTAGTAATACAGGCAACACAGGTCTCAGGGGCCAGAACCAGAACTACACAGTGGGGGCTCCTCCTCAGCCGTGCACTTTATTTGGGGGGAAGCTCATATGTGCCACGTGTGAGCGCCTCCAGACCCCAAGGGAGCAAGGCTTCCCTGACCATATCCTCCAAGGTCAGGGGAGCTCCTTGACTTCTTGGCTTCTTTTACAACCCAAGGATTTCATTTCAAACTCAGAAGAAGCCCGTTCCCTTCCTGCGTGTGCCATCTCTGGGGGACACCAGGGCCACCCCTGCTTTGCCCCCTCCGTGAGACAGACCTTGCCCCTGGACTTGATCCCTCTGGTCCCCATGCCCCTCGGGTGTGTGTATAAGACCAGACTAGTCGGGGCAGCGGGGGGAGAATGAGGTGAACTGAACCCTATGCCCCTCATTTAAGTAGGCCTTTAATGAGGATCTCGTGGCAGAGTTTCAGATGCAG